TTCAAAATTAGGGAAATATTGTCCGCGAGAGCCACTTCTCTTATGTTCTTCTTCACGGAGAAGAGATTCATATCTCACAGCGCAGGACATCAATTGAAACAAATCAGAAAACTCCCTATCTTGAAACTTTTTACGAAGTTCAAAATTCAATCCACCCTGGGCCAGTTTAACAAACTCGCGTTCTGTCAAGTTCACAAAACAGCGATTTCTTGCATTTTTAAAGTTTGTTAAAAAGTGTTCTACTGTTTCTCCTGGCTGTTGGCGCATTCGTGCCAAATCTGCCATTGTTACTTCTGGCTCGGAACGGTAGAACTGAGCATGGAATATTTGTTCCATTTGCTGCCAAGTTTGAACCGAGTTCGATGGCAAGTTGACGTACCACGCGAATGCAGGGCCGGTCAACGAGTTGCCAAATAGACGCAACTTCAAGAAATCACTCACATCACCACACTGAACCGTGAATCGTCCAACATGCTCGACGGTGGACTGATCCCCAGTCCCGCTGAAGGTGATGAAATCAGGCACGCGAAAACCACGTGGAAAGGGGTAGTATCTATCAACCCAATCCGGATATGGTTTTCGATACACCGGCGGCATCGCTGGTCTAATCCCTAAACCAAACTGATCCGCCAGCATCTGTGCTACTTGATCTCGAATCGCATTAACGTCTTGCCCCCCGAGTTGCCCCCCTTGTGGTACGAATCCACCAGGATCCATGCCAAGCCCGTTTGGAGGAGGAGGGGGCACGTTTTGTGGGTAGCCGCGTGGCGGAACATGATCATTGTTGATCGTTCCTCCACCGCCAGCACCGCTCATCGGAGCCACGTAAGGTCTGGCCTCCGGAATATTTTGTGGACCCACACCGTGAAACGGCGGTGGTTCAACCCGAGTGTGAGGGGCAGTGCTAGTCTCGCCAAGATTAACTCGCGGAGTTGGTGGGTTCATCACCGGTGTCGGCGAAGCTCCTTGTCTTGGCGGACTAATTCGAGCACTGTTGTTTGGAAAACCAGTTTCGCTGTTTAAATTGTTTTCACCGTTTAGCGGCAAATCCCTAGGTTGCGTTACTGGTCTACCCAAGAGCTCCCTGATTTCATTCATATCACGTATATTTTTATCCCCGAAAACATCAAAATCATGTCTGTTTTTAGTCACAACTTCAAAGAGTTGGCCTAAACGCCTATCAACACGAGACTCTAGAGAATCATGTCGTGCAGTTAAAGCGTCAAAACGTTGATTTACCTCGCCTTTGAAGCCTGCGAACTCATTGTTGAGGCTAGCAAACATGCGACGATTCTCCTCCATGAAATGGCGGATTGACAGATCCCCAGTCGGCCCAGCTGTGGACGGCGGATTCTCGGACCCGCCGATGTCTTCAGCACCGATTCCTTGGCCTCCTTCAATGTTGGCCACATGTTCCTCCACGATTCCGGGCGGGACATCCCCTTCCGGATTCCTTCGTCGCGGAGCCATTCGAACACACGTGTCCCACCGGGTGTGCCAATTTGTTTCGTTGGCGAAACTCGTGTGTTAACTGCGCACGGTTTTCAAGAAAAACACAAAAACACACGTCAATCACAACCGTCAAATATCTGCCGCCGGTGTCGGCGCCGTTGATTTGACCGATTAAAACAGAAACAAAGACGATCGTCAAATGGCCGCCGCCGGTGTCGGCGTCGTTGATTTGATCGATACACCTTTGACTTCTAATCAAACAACTGTTATTCGGTCCAACACCTCTCCAAACTACGTTCGAACGAGGGTGTTCGAATAAACAGAAAATCGAACCAGGAGTGTTCTAAGTTATGTTACCTCTACTCCTATGGAGGTTCCTCTGGAGAGCTCCGCGACTACGACTACAAGCTACGATCTACGACTCTGCAAAGGAGTTCTTTGACAGAGCGGTTCTACGAAACTAGAGAGAAAAAAGATAATTCTGCAATGGTGCAGTTGTGATTTGATTTTGCCGTCCTTCACTTCTCTCTCTTCCCAATCTTTATACTTCGCGCTTCTCCTCGTCGTAGTAACTGCCTTCGCGCCTTTGTCTCCCACGTCTTCATTCCTGTCAACCGTGCAAGTAACTTCCTCCTTGTTGCGTAACTCCCACGAGTGCGAAACCGCTTGGACACGCGGAAACTTGGCCAGAACGACACCGAGCCAAAATCCACAAAACTTTCGCCACTGCGACGTTGTTTTCTATTAAACAACATCGTTTTAGTACCGCGGCGGTGTTGATATCTCCCATGATGTCGTTTTTGACTAAACGACACCGTCTAAACCAATCCTTAAAATATTAATTAATTAAACCGGGCATCATTGTTGACACGCCGTCAAACCCTCACTTCGCGGCGCCGTTTTAATTAAACAGCATCGTTTTCTAGTTCTGCGATGGTGTTGAACTTCGCAATGCCGTTTTAACACTGTCGTTTTAACTATTGCGGCATCGTTTGGCCTACTCGCGGTGTCGTTTCTTTCCTCTTGCGGCATCGTTTTCAACTAAACGACACCGTCCTAAATAATCATTAACAATATTAGTTAATTAATCCGGTCATCACTAGTCAAACTCGTGTGTTGACCAACGACATCATTAGCGCCAAAACGGCTCCGTTTGCTTTTTCTCACGACATTGTTTAAATATTTTAAACACTGTCGTTTGCTAGCACAGCGGTACCGTTGGCCTTACTCGCGGTACCGTTTTGGATTAAACGACACCGCTGATATAACCAAAAAATATTAATCCCTGGAACCGCCACAGTCGGCGCTCGCATTGGGCCGGATGAATTTTGGTCACTTGCCCATCGGTACCGCTTACCAGGCTCTCGCGGCACCGTTTTTAAATCCGCGGTACCGTTTTAACTCTCCGCGGTACCGCTTGTCTCCATGCGGTACCGATTTTCCCTTTCCAACAAGGAATAAAAATATTAATTAATTATAAACAAAACTCCTTCTCCAACACCAACTAAATGCGCGGTGCCGTTTCTAGTATCGCGGTACCGTTGAGATTCCTTGCGGTACCGTTTTTAGTCCTCCGCGACACTGCTCGACTCCCTACGACACCGTTTTTTACCCACGGTATCGACTTAAATGCCGAGACTAATTAATGCGGCATTTAATTTCGGCCAAATTAATTTTACGTGTTAACAGTTCTGTTGTAGAGAATCGATTTTTGCAGGCTCCTTATCAAAATTTTCAGGGAGACTACCCACATACCGGGTGGAAAAGTAAACAATTTGGTGCCAAATTTTGGAATTTTTTTGTCTCGGATCCACAGTAGAAGGAAGAAAGTGGTAAGGTATTAAATGCAATTTTGGACAAAATTAAAATTTAGTATATGTTGTATATAAAAAAAAATGGTACAATAACTACTACCATACACATCTATCTCAACGATCATGACAAATACGATAATTTATTTTATAATCGCATAAAAACCAGAACCCACATTTAATTAGTATAATATGGAGGTACCCATTTCTTGGGCGGGTAGGTGTATTTTTGGGTAGACTGTACTGTAGTGTTGGTTTATCTTGAGATACCTCGGCGGCAAGAAAAAAAAAAATTAGAGACCAGGCCAGTAGCCAAGTGTTGGCAAAGAGGATAGACAAATGGAAACCCCAATGTAAAGGCAGCTGCATGCGGCGTGAGAGGGCGAACTGCACCGGTTATTTATAGGATAGAGATTGGATATACTTAAATAAATTCGATCATTAATATATAATTACACTGTGATATATATATATACTGTGATACCACGTCCACGTGGATGAACTAAAACGTGAATTGGAATGACACGTAGATGGCTGCCTCTATCGTCCCTGCGGCCACCTCTTTACTAATATTAGTCCCAAAGAAACATCCCTAGCTATATATGTATACATATATAAACCCTAGCCTAGACTAGACTAGACTAGACTGATGCATGCAAAATAAATGTAACAAGTGGCTTTACATATATGTCAGCTATGTAACGAGAGGGAGATCAGATTGGGGCCAAGGAGCAAGAAAGGGCCGTAGGGTTTAGGCGTACATTAACGTGGAACCATCCAAACTTTGTTGCTAAATGTGTGCATTAGAAGGGGTGATGGTGCCACGCTGTGTGCGTCTAAACACTCTCTTACGGTTCCAATCTCTTCACTAATTAATGATTGTTGTGTACACGAAGGTTTGGGAAAATACGGGTTCAACCTAAGAAGACGACGACGACGATGATGATGTTGCATGTATGTTATCTACACACTTGATTTGTTTGATATGATTTGTTTATCAGTTTTTCATATCGATTCATGATATCTGTTGTTAAGTATGTTAAGTGACAAGAAATGTAATTGTGTAGAATTCATGACCGTCTAGTATATAGATGTACATGTCAAAGTAAGAAGTTGGTATAGAGCACTTACTGACTACCTCTATTCTTCTTTTTTTTGCATGTGTTGGACTTGGAGCTGATTGAGCAGTTTTGGGGTGGGAGATAGATGGTGGTTTGCAAATTGCATTGTATGCATAGTCGCGAGAGCCAAACTGGATCAAGCACAATGCGTCTCGTTCCTTTTTCATTCAGTTGGGTTGGGCCGAAGCCCGGCAGTGGTTCAAGACTGGCCCACTCAATTAATAATGGCACAAGCTCAACCATGAGCGAGTTAATTGTTCATTAAAAGCATGTTTGGTGGTTAGGATGTGAATTGACCTACTTTGTACAATTGTACTTAGAAAGTGTTTTTCCCCCCCGATCAATCAAAATCAGAAGAACATCACTATAGTATACCGAGACTGGAAAAGAGAAACAAAATTGTGTGTTTTCTTTGCTTCAACTTTCATATACTCGTGGTTATCATGTATTTTTTCATACACATTAAGCTAATATAGTTCGAATTAATTTTAAGTCCTAAATCTATAAATTTTAAAACGAACAATATATACAAAATAATTCGATTTAAATTCCAGTCTTCATTTTGGGTTCGAACTTGCTCTAACTTTGGGACCAAGATCCCCTCTGGGCTGTAAAAGTGTACTCGTGTCCATGCTCCATGCACGCCGCGCTTTATTCTTCTAGAGAGTCGCAAACCAAACCGGGAAAAGGAAAGGAAAGGAAAGGAGATAATTATAGCGAAGATCCGAGTGAGTGACAAGTGCTGGTTTTTGGCTTAACCGGGCCGCTTCCACTTTCCGTCCTTCCTTCAAACATCTCCCACCGAGTAGAAGATTCTTAATCTGGTTTGAGCCCCTCTCTTGATTAGATCTCGTTCTCTTCCAATTCAATCCTCCCAATTCTTCTGGTTTTCTGTCCTACTGCAGCAGGGCAGCGTCGGAGCACGAGAAGATGTTTAGGATTCTCACGCAGAGGGTGTGTGAGTCCCGATTAAACGTCATCGTCATTTGCTAGTCGAATACTCGGGTATGGCTTTGATCGTCTAACGCCTCTGTTTTCTTTTCCTCCCAAGGTTTTGGGACAGTCGCTGCTGCAGCAGGGGATTCGCCCTGGAGCTGTTGCTTCGGCTTCGAGATGTTTCGCTTCCGCTGCAAAAGATGTAAGAATTTCCGTTTCTCTTTATTTTTTTTTTCTTTCTTAGGATTTATATTTTTTATTATTAACTAGCGAAGTTGTGAGCTTGTTTCACTTGATTGTGGATTTTGGCATTTCGGTGATGAAAAATGGTCATGTTCTGCAAAACAGTTAACTGTAAGAGAAGCCCTGAACTCTGCACTTAATGAGGAAATGTCAGCTGACCCACGTGTGCTTTTAATGGGTGAAGAGGTAACAACATAGATAACCCATCTTTTGATGAAGTTCTCTTTTTATAGTTTCTGCACTTAGGGTTTCACAGGTTCTTAATCATACATTCAATTTTCAGGTTGGAGAGTATCAGGGTGCATACAAGGTCAGAACTTTGTTACTGGAATTGATTATTCATCTTTCATGGGATAATTAAGCTTTGTTGATTGAAATTCCCTAAAAAATTTCATAGATAACGAAAGGGCTACTGGATAAGTACGGACCTGATAGGGTCCTCGATACCCCAATCACAGAGGTTAGCTAGTCTTCGATGAACTTCACACCGAAAAGTTAGGGATTGCCTTTGGTTTCTAATTTAATCATTGTTAGTATTTGGTCTCTACCTTTACCAGGCTGGTTTCACCGGTATCGCTGTCGGTGCTGCTTACCATGGTCTCCGCCCTGTGGTCGAGTTCATGACCTTTAACTTCGCAATGCAGGTCTAAAACTTTATTATAGTTTACTTAATGATTTGCTGCTATATGGTAGATGCTTGTTGAAAAAACTTATATCTTGTTTTGATTGCTACACAGGCGATTGACCATATCATCAACTCTGCTGCAAAGACGTATTACATGTCAGCTGGACAGATATCTGTGCCTATAGTCTTCAGAGGACCTAATGGTGCTGCTGCTGGAGTTGGCGCTCAACACTCTCAGGTACTGGTTTTAATATCGATATGTTCTTGGTTATTTTTCGATTTCTCAGAGGTAGTAGCGAGATGAGAGATTGATAGACTCAATAGTTGTATCACTTGGTGTGCAGTGTTATGCATCATGGTATGCATCCTGCCCTGGGTTGAAAGTGCTGGCGCCATATTCGTCAGAAGATGCACGTGGACTGCTCAAAGCTGCAATAAGAGACCCAGATCCTGTTGTTTTCCTCGAGAATGAATTGCTGTAAGTTATATTCTCGTTCACTGCAGTAAGAGACCCGGGTCCTGTTGTTTTCTGTGAATGAATTGCTGTAAGTTAAATTCACGTTCACTATACTGGTATGTCTTCTGTGGAAACTCATTGGCATACCGTGGTTTAGGTATGGCGAGGCATTTCCTGTTTCCGCTGAAGTACTTGATTCCAACTTTGCTCTTCCTATTGGGAAAGCCAAGGTAATGGTGTGGACAAGTTATTCCTCTGTCTTTGTGGCATGTTGTAATGTTCATTGTAATTGTCTTCCCATTTACGGCTTTTTGTTCCAACAGATAGAGAGGGAAGGAAAAGATGTGACTATCACAGCTTTTTCAAAGATGGTTGGCTTTGCTCTCAAGGTTTCTGTCCAAAATTCTGTAATCTTCCCCGTTTATCTTTTCATAACTTGTCCTAATCTTTTACCTATATGTGCAGGCTGCTGAAATACTTGACAAGGAAGGAATCAGCGCTGAGGTAACTCGACTGCACTAAAGTGACTACAACTCCTTTCTGCTGATTGCTGACTTTGTCACACGGAACTGAGAAAACCCATCATTTTTTCTCCACAGGTGATAAATTTGAGATCAATTAGGCCATTAGATCGAGCCGCGATAAATGCTTCAGTCAGGAAAACCAACCGACTGGTGACTGTCGAAGAAGGGTTTCCTCAGCATGGCGTTGGCGCTGAGATTTGGTTGGTCTTACTATCCTTTTTTCTTTTGTTGCATTTGCTTATATCCTAAGCTTGGTTAACAATGTTGTTGGATGTCTGGCATTGATTCTCTCCGCAGCACATCTGTGGTTGAGGAGAGTTTCGGTTATTTGGATGCACCAGTGGAGAGGATCGCCGGGGCTGATGTTCCAATGCCATATGCAGCTAATTTAGAGAGGTTGGCGCTCCCACAGGTATATACATCTAATGGTTTCTCATGTCAAATTATGGGTTCTTGGGATTTGTTGCGATGCACAAGCATCAGATTGTTCATGCTGTGGCGGCCTGTGGAAATATTTGTTCTAGGTTGAGGACATTGTTCGTGCAGCAAAAAGGGCTTGCTACAGGTCGGTTCCAATGGCTGCAGCTGTTTGAGTCGGCATGGATTTGGGCCATGACATCGCTTTTTTAAACGGAAGGTTAGTAAGTTCCTATGTTCTTACTCTGGCCTGGCCAGACCCAAATGACTCATGACCCAAAGTGACCCTTCTCGTGACTCTTGTCTGTATGAACTGTACAAGTTTAGACCAGAACCAAATCCACTTGTTCAGCAGTGTTTATTAGATTAGTGATCTTGCTGATTAGCGCAATCATGTTTATCCACAATGTCCCAATCCACCATAGCCTACCGCCAAGTCTAGGTACATTGTTTCATTGTGCCTTGACCTGATCCGTTTACCAGGTCTTGTCTTCTCCCTCGTTAAAATGTAAAAACAAATGGTCTTTGGTCCAGGATATGGGTTGACACAAAGAAAGCAGAGACTAAATCTGACTTTTGTTTGTTCAGGTACACACAGAGATTTGTATAGCTTTGGCCGCCATCTCAGGAGAATGGAGCAGCCATCAAATAATACACACACGTGCGGGAGATAGTCTAGCTAGACTGCAGCATCAGAAGAGAGAATAATAAATCCTTTTGTTTTTCCGGCTTTACCTGTATCTAGATATCTTAATGAATCTTGTAAGAAAAACAAAGAAGCCTTTGGAGATGACGAGTGTAATGACGCGTGATGCAGATAAGAGAATGTGATGGAGCTCATCACCATTATATAATATCAGACTTTTATTTCATTTTCTGGTGGTGGCCGTACGTTTGTTGACATAAGCAGCAAGCAAATTGTGGGGTGAAGTGGAGACCAACGTTGGATCCAGTCGACAACCAGATCCAGCGGCAGTTGAATCAAATCGTTGACTAGGGTGAAGGAGTTAGGAAAAGCGTTCTAATTAGGCTATGATTGATTTGCCCCTTCCCCGAGACTTCCATTCCTTTTCTGCGTGGCTGCTAATTCTATAGCTTAGTTCATTTGCAGTCTTTTCTTTGCCGTGTCAGTTGTAACATGCAAGCATTTGACGAAGGGAAGAAACAGACAGAAATGTAAGTTGTAACATATAACATGCAGTCTTTTCTAGCTTAGTTTATCGGTCTTTTCCATTTCATGTGGTGAAGAGTTTTGACGGAAGAAAAAGAAAAAGGAACCGAGGGAAGAATTTTCTTGCAAGCAGTACCAAACAAATGAGAAGAAACAAACGAGGAGACTTGTTGGACTCTGTCGAGTCTCATGGGTTGTGTCTGGTTCAAGACATGAGCACCTAGCTTCTTCTTCGACTAGCATCTTCCCCATGACTGAAAACAGTGGCGAATGGCCCTAACAAGTTTTTTTTCATAGCTGATGTTGGTTTTGAGGTGGTTCGAGATTCAGGTTTTTAAGTTATGCTTTTTTCACTCCGTTATTGCTAAGTTTATTAACCACTCTTTTAGTGCCTAACTACATTTTGGAATGTATCAAATGTCCATGAAGTTGGTACAAATATGTGGAAGCCAAACCCTAACATTTGCAAGCCTTATATTCGTCATAATATTCATCTAGTTTGATTTTGCTAGAAAAAAAGAAAAGAAAAAAACTTCACGACTAAACATCACACTGATATTACTGTTGTCATCCTAACTTAAAATGAGAAATTGTTTAATCTTCGTCCTTAAATAAAGCAAAAATTTAAAAACAAAATATCCTACAAATCTTCTACATTAGAAGACGATGATGCTGAACAAGAGTTTTGATCAGGCGATGACTCTCTCTAAGAGAAGTTTCAGTCGAGCAGGAGCGGGTGGGAGCACGTCATGGTTGGAACTCGACGGGCCCGGATAGTATAACAACACCAACAACAGGATTCATTAAGTGTATAAGGGTAAACTTACCTAAAATCTAATAAAATTAAAAAATATTTAGCCCACCCACCCTTCTTCTTGTCCGATCCTGTAACTCGTATATCAATTTCTTCCGCCCCTCTCCACAGTATCTCCTCCAGCGCCGGCGGCAATTAGAGGTGTCAATCGGGCGGGTTCGGGTTGGGTTCATTCGGGTTGCGGGTTGGTCGGGTTGCGGGTTATTCGGGTTACGGGTCAATCGGGTTGCGGGTCAATCGGGTTACGGGTCAATCGGGTGCGGGTCAATCGGGTTGCGGGTAGGGCGGTTCGGGTTGCGGGTTTTACGGACCAGAACATCGCGTTACTTTTTAGTGATTACTAGTAAGTCGTAAATCGTAACTATATGAAGCTAGCACAATACTTGTCAAAAAAACAGGAATCACTACTCAAAGTCAAAGACTCAAAGGTGGGGGGAAACAAAATTTTGGGGAAACATTACAGGGGGAATTATTGGCGGGTCTCGGCGGGTGGGGGGAATCAAATTTTTGGGCTGTAGTATTGGTGGAACCCAAAATTTGGAGAGAAAAGTTTAAAAATAGTTTTTAATTTTTTAAAAACAGGTGAAATTGTTCATATTTTTTTTTGACAAAAAAATTGTTCATATAATGTATAGAGAAATTGTTGTTTTAGCTAGTTAATTGTTTATATGATTTTTGTATTAAACTAAATTATAAAATTTAGAAAAATTGTTGTGAGTTCAATTGTAACTTTACTCGATAACATATAATCTAAATTCTAAAAAGTCTATACCCTGAACCCCAAAAGATTTTATTAATGAATATGTGTTAATAAATAACTTGATCCTTATTATTTATGATTTTGATTAATCTTGGCTAAACCATTAATAGTTTAATACATTAACCCTAACCCATTACCCTATACGTCGACTCTATATCATATACCCTAAACCCCTAATGGTTTGATTGATGAACATATGTTTAATCATGGCTAAACCATTAATACCTTATACCCTATAAATCGACTTTATAATCTATACCCTAAACCCCTAATGGTTTGATTCATGAACATATATTAATAAGAAAACTTGATCTTATTAGTTATGATTTTGACTAATCGTGGCCAACCCATTAATACCTTATACTCTAACCATATACCCTACAAGTCGACTCTATAACCTATACCCTAAACCCCTACTAGTTTGATTCATGAACATGTTAATAAGAAAAGTTGATCTTATTAGTTATGATTTTGACTAACCGTGGTCAAATCATTACGACTTTATATCCTAACCATATACCCTATAAGTCGACTCTATAACCTATACCCTAAACCCCTAATGATCTGAATTCTGATTGATGAACTTGTGTTAATAAGAAAAGTTGATCTTATTAGTAATGATCTTGACTAATAATTGTTAAACCATTAATACCTTATACCCTAACCCATTAGACTAACCATATACCCTATACATCGACTCTATAGTCTATATACCTTATTACACTACAGGAAAACTGGTTTTCAGTCACGATATCTTATTCACGATAGTGTTTCCTGTACTTAGAGGTATGCTACTAAGCACGGTAAAATTTCCCGTAATTAATTTTATAGTTACAATCACGGGAATTAAATTTACCTATTTTTAATCTTCACTTCCCGTGACTAATAATCAGTCACCACTGCATGAAAACAGGGGTTTTGTGTCGGTTCATTGAACCGACACTAAAAAATTATTTAGCATCGGAGATTTGTGTCGGTTAAGCAACCGACACAATTTTTTATGCTTTTACATCGGTTAGAGAGAACCGACACAATTTCTTTCGTATTTGAGTCGGTTTTCACTATAACCGACAATTATTGTTGATTTGGGTCGGTTTCGTATTGAACCGACACAAATCCTTTGCCCGCCCAATATTTCAATGCCCGCCTAATTTTTTCTTGAGAAATGCCCACCCAAATTTTGACCACCGCCCAAAATTTCCCTCCTTTTATGGTTGAAAATTTTCAGCAGATAAATCAAACCCACCACCGCCCAAATTTCAAACCACTATTTCTCTCTGTTGGAAATTGAAAACGAGCCCTTCACCTACCTATCCTTCGTTTGTTGTAAAAAAAAAAAAGATACCTATCCTTCGTTCCTCTGCAAACAACAACCCTTCCTTCACCTGCCACTCTATTCTCAAAGAAAACATAACCTTCTTTCATCTCCTTTGATTCCTCTAAAAAAAACGACACCTCCGCCTCTAGCGGCTTGCTCTGGCGATATGCGGCAACGTTGGCGAAAAGGCCAGACGACTATGGCGGAGAGATCGAGACGACAGAGCAAGGGTTCCAGCAAGGTGGGGGCAGAGAGTGAGGGTTCGAAGGTTGGATGAGATGGTGGCGGTGGAGAGATCGAGACGACAGAGGCTAGGGTTTTCGCTCCAGATCTTCAAGAAGAAGCCTTCTCGTCACCTTCTCGGACCAAGAATGAGGAGGTAGAAGGGGCCTCCGTTATCCGACCTCCCTCAGTGCCTCCTCATCTTCTTCTCCATCGGCTGCGCCACCGCTTGGGCTAAAGGAGATCAGGGTTGCCGGTGATCTGGGTTCCCAATCTGGCTGTCTGTTTTCTTCTTATTCTTTGTCAAATGAACACCAGATTTGTGATTGGGTTTAGTTTTAATTTATACTAGTATCTTTGCCCGCGCCTCCGCGCCGGGATCTAAGTTACAAAAACAAATTAATACATATTGGTTCTGAATCTCTTGTGATGCATTATACTCAACAGTATGATAGAACTTGTGAAACTGGTTCACCCTCTACTGCTGCAGGAATGATGACTGTAAAAGCAAATAATTATGATGAAGTTGCAGGAAAGCACGCTTGATTTCATTAAAAGCCGAAGTCTTGAATGTTGTGATGGTTAATTAATTTAACAAATTGTTTACTTACACAAATAATTAGAACTGAAGTTTTTTCTTAATGGGAAATTACTAATATCTATCATATTGAGTACTAACTGAAGGGGAAAAAAGTACATGAAAGCCTATATGATTCCTTCGATGAGCATCCAAGTTTAGAAAGAGGTATCGTTTGATAATTAACATTCCATTATTACCCATCCACAAAAGAATATATACAACATTAAATAGATAAACTACATCTAAGAAACAGACAACAAAATTGAATTCCAAATGATCGGACTTTAGTGAATTAGAATTTCAAATGTCAACTTTTGGTTTATCTTCATCGAATTCCTTCTATTATAGTCGGGCTGCGGGTTGATCGGGTTACGAGTTCGGGTTAGTCGGGTTGCGGGTTGGTCGGGTTGCGGGTCGATCGGGTTGCGGTTCGATCGGGTTGCGGGTTGGTCGGATTGCGGGTTGGTCGGGTTGCAGGTCGATTGGGTTGCGGGTCGGGCCGGTTGCGGGTCATTGACTTTTAGTCAAATCAGGTTGCGGGCGGGTTACGGGTCGGGTTGATCGGGCGGGTTACTCGGGTCGGGTTACATTTTGACAGCTCTAGCGGCAATCCTCTTCCGGCCTCTCAATTCTCCTAAGCCACCACTCAATCCTCCTCCATCCAAGATGCATCGTCCTCCTTCTGGCGTCGGCGCCAATCGATCGATTTCAAAGGCGCAATCTTCGATTCAATTCTGTCTCCCTCAAATTCGCAATTTAGGTTGTGTAATTGATGATGATTGGACTGACGACAAGAACAGAGACTGGATCGGCGGAAATGGCTAGAACAGAGTCTTCTCTGACGAGGGCACTACTGTAGCGGTCCGAGGAGTGGCCGATAGGGGTGGGCATTGAGTGGGTCGGGTGGATATTGACCATAAAATGCACTCACCCCCTCTTAAACGGATTGATAATTTTTAACCCACCACCCAACCACATTTAGTCTCGGATTGGGTCAGGCGGATGGTGGATGATGCGGGTGGGTTTGTGGGTTCACCCACATAACAATGTATATAATATAAAGGAGTCAACTTGACATGATAATAGGTGAAGAGAGTTATCGGGGGAAACAAGAAGATGAAATAGGCGAAAAATATCGAATTTGTTCTTAAATTGGATAGAAATTATATTATGAAAGAGTTTTCTACAGATTGAGATGATTATCAGGTGCAAGGAACTAAGGAAAATAATTCCACAAAGGAAGAGCGGTGATCTAGGCACAAGAATTAGAGGGAAAAGTAAAGGGAAGAAGAGGGGATCGCTATTTGGAAGGTTGGCTTTGAGGTTCAAACTCCAGGAGCAGTCCTAGTTCATGTCTAACGTCTCCACTCTCCCCTCTCTAGCGCCAACGACTTTGATCTTTTTGCTGTTGGGTTGAGCGGGTCACCCGCGCACCCACCCACAACCCACCCACCACTCGGCGGATGGCTTCCAGCGCAACCAGTCATCCACCTACAAACCCACCCACTTAACGAAATTCGGGTCAAATGCGGGTGGGTCGTCCCAAAACCGCGGATGATCCGCCCGCATGCCCAGCCCTAGTGGCCGATGGCGATGTCCATCTACGGCGGCGGCGGGGAGGAGTTGGGAGACGACGATTTGGATTTGGAGGATGGAATGTCAGTCGATTGGGACGAAGAAGAAGAAGAAGGCGGGAGCAGTAGCAAAAGGAGGTCGTTGTTGAATTAACTCTGCCTGCCCCTAAGGCCGCTGCCAAACATCAATTGCAGAGAGGACTTGGAGGAGCTAATTAAAATTGAATGATTCACATTCACGTCTCTAATGAAAGAGATTAGGCTTAGTCCTATTTGACACTGAGCTATCCAAGTATTCGTCTAGCAGATATTTAATACTGCAATGCTAAAGAGATTTCTGATTGTTCGCCAAATCGATAACTTCCATTTTCTGATTTTGGTTGTAGTTAGGTTGTCCCAGGTTTGGGATCGCTACAAATGCACAATGTTAAGTGGTAACCCAACCCTTCGTCGCCGGCGGTAGCTAACGAATAAGGCGGATTTAGGTCAGCTCGCCGTACTTTCAGGAGAATTTCAAATATGTTTGTTGTTTGTTCAATGGTTAATGAGTTGAATGTTATGAGATTTATTGTTTAGGCGAAAACGTATAAGAATAGGATGTCCATGTATATGTTCAAAAGAAGGACAATATATATCAATAGCATGAACATGCTGGAAACCTTCTAATACAGACCACAAATTTTGTTAAGCAAACTAGAAACACCACAAATATTTTTTAAATGCACACTAGAAACATCCTAATGTAGACCACAAACCTCCTAAAACATACCAGAAAGCTTAAAATGTAAACCACAAATATTCCATAAGCACTCCAGAAACCTCGTAATCTAGACCACCAACACGATAAAACAAATCATAAATATATACCAAAAACCTTCTAATGCAAACCTCAAATCTTCTAAAACATACCAGAAATCCCACAAAGCAAACCGCATAATTTTTAAAAGCAAACCAGAAACCTCCTAATGCAGACCACAAACACGGTAAAACAAACCACAAAAAACATACCAAAAACCTTCTAATGCAAACCACAAATCACCTAAAACAAACCAGAAAGCTCACAAAGCAAACCACAAATATTTCATAATCACACCAGAAACCTCCTAATGCAAACCACAAACACAGTAAATCAAACCACAAAAAAGCAAACCATAAACGTCCTAATGCAGACCACAAATATATTAAATCAAACTAGAAACCTCACAATGCAAACCACAAAATTTTTGAAAGCAAACTAGAAACTTCTTAATGCAAACCACAAACACGATAAAGCAAACCACAAAAGGCATACAAAAATATGAGAAACCAAACCATAAATCTCACAATGCAGACCGTAACATCCGGTGGTCGCTGACCGTTGACCAAACTCAGATGACCGTCAGTGAGCAGATTTTCGACGCCGATAGGCATATTCCGACCCCGATGACTAGATTTCGACGCCGGTAAGCAGATTACGACCACGGTGAGCATATTCCGGCGACGGTGGCCATATTCCGATGACAAAATAGCATATTCCGGCGACAAAAAACATATTCCGGTGACCGGCGACTAGATTCCAACGACCAAAATTTGGGCAGAAAATAAAAACAATATTGTTTATTTTTTATTTTTTTTATTATTTAAACATATTTTTTATAATGACAATTGTACCCCTGCTTTGATTTTACACTAGGTCAACTCAGCTAATAAAAAGTCATCACAACCCTAGCTTCCTATTGGTTGGAGACTAGTGTTGTTACAATAACAACAGAAGGGGTGTTGTCACACTATCTGGTCCCAAATTCGACAGAGGGCAATTTTTGTTTCTTTTTTATTGTTCAATTGTGTTTATTATCTCCTAACAATAAAAAAATTAGAAGCGTAAACAAGTAACAATTAGGACGGCATTTAGTAGACCTTATAAACAGACCCCTTTCTAGAGATGGTAAAACAGATCCAATATTTGGGTATATTCTAAGCCCAACTTATTATGGGTCAAATCATGTTTACCTGATTTTATTTTTCGAACAATTTTCATACACTAATTTTTAGTTTGGATATAAATCATTAAATTGGACTCATATCATTGAATATACAAAAGAAAAGGAATACCCGTCTAATTTTTTTTTTTCAAATTGAGAAACAATTAGAATAATTCAAATAGAATGCAAAAAGAAAAATAAAATAGAATCATTAGAAAAAGAAGAAAATCTAACCACATGCACATGCAAACCATCATTGCATCAAAAGCGAAAACATGCTGGTGGGTTACAAAGTTGAATTAGCACCATCCACACCCACAGCTAGGTTGCAATCTAAATTCTAAAATAACTCACGCACGCTTTTGGCTTAAAAAGAAGAAAAAAATGTACTCTTACCGTAAAGGGCTTATAATTCGACCCTTTGCATTATAGAAACTTAGAAAGTGAGTCTGTCAGGCCATATTTTTGTACTACACGGTTTACAAGGGGATCAAGATTTCCTTTTTCTCAAATTTGGATTTAGTTTCGATCTTTCTGCCAAATAAAGAGGCTTAACTTTTGGATTCTGACTGTTGACCACTCCCAATTTTGACCCACTTGCCCCCACAGGACAACGACTTCAAACCTTTTCCATCATTTTTCTTTCTGGTCAATTCAATTTGAGTTATTGTCTTGTTGGTAATCTTAAACCCAACCAATGTTGAAAATCTAACAACTCAGTAATTTCATTCATGCCAATCTAGGGTTTTGTATTTGATCTTTCCGTGTAAATTTAGAGGTGACAATTTCAATCCAATTCATCAATCCAATTTATCAATCCATTAAAAATATTCACCTAATCTAATCCATTTGATCCAAATCCAATGATATTGGTAGATTCATGGATTGGATCCATGGATCATTGGCAAATTACGATTTAGTATCTATAATTTTTATTTTTTACATTTTGGTACCTAAAAATTAATTTTTTATATAAAAAATATCATTAGAAAATTACATTTTGGAACCTAAAAATTTTCATTATGAAATTTTAGTATCTAAACTTTTCACATTTTACATATTGGTCCTTGGTTGAGGATGTCATTTGGATTCATGGATAATCCACCAATCCACTTGATCCAATCCATTTGATCCATGGATCCACCAATCCAATCCATTTGTCACCTCTACATGTAATTGTGTCGAATACACTTAAGTTGCAATTGAATATGAAGTAAAGTAGGTATTCTACTTAGCTAATTGCAAATATTACAATCTGTACCGTACGTCACTTGCTGAGCCAAAATTGTCATTGTCTGTTTTGAAGGGGGGGGGGGGGGGGGGGGGGGTTTCAAGATGAGTCGTGGATAACCCCTCTTGTAGTCTTGTTGATCTACCATGACTTATATAAGTTCATTCTCGAATTGTTTTACGTTTAACATTTATATAAATTTTACTCAAGTTACTTTTACTTAAAGACATGTTACACATACTTTAACTCTAACGTAGCTACTAGTAAATGCAAATCCCCATCTCTGAAACAATTATACCGACCGAGCATGTATGGGTACTAAGGTATATCGCCCTATCGTCATTTTAGCTAATTAGAATATATATGTGACTTTTTTTTATTAACTTCGGAGCTGAAACGTTAATCGTGGACAAATATATATAGTGGCCAATGGTGTAATTCACTCTTTTTTCCTCACAAAAGAATAATTAACAACTATAATAAACTAAACCTGAACAAAAACGAAAAATGAAAGAAGGTTGTTGTTGTAGAGGAAGGAAAACGAAAGAAGATACCAGGCAAGTGTAGTTAGTCAATAAACGCTCAACTTCCACCCAATTTCGTTAATACAATAATAATGAACGTATCTGTGTTATTATAATTATGTTAATAATAAAACTTGAAAAAAGGAAGCATCATTATTAATAAAGCTGGAGGCCGGTAAAAATCGAGTTTTTTAGGCAGTTATATTTGGTGGTGGTAGTGACGCAACGACGACGAAACAGCAAAAGGAAAAACGCCGCAAGACCGCGGACAAGGAAGAAGAAGGAGGAGGAGGAGGAGGAGGAGGAGGAGGAAGAAGAGGAATGTACGTGGAGCAGCTACCTGCCATTTCCATTCCGTTCCTCTTCTTCTGATCACTACTCTCTTCTCCCTCGCATTCCAATTCCGCCAGATAAACCGAATCTCGCCGGCGGCAAACGAGGACAGCAGAGACTCGCCACGTCGACGGCGGCGGTGGCGACGAGTAGGATGAGGACTTCGCTCAGACTATTGCGAGGGGCTCTTCAAAAGCATAATAACAACGGCGATGCCTCCGGTAGGGACGGGCGAGATCTTCGCTCCTTGGCGCAATTGGGCGAACTAGCTCGTGCCTCTCAGGTTTTCCTTCCTTTCCGTGTATTCCCGACGCTAGATTGCTTCTATGGTTGTATAGCGGGATTTTTCCTTCTCTCGCCATTTTCTCTTATACTAGTTTGCTTCCATGAAAAAACGAGGTTGTAATGTTCTAGGGAGTTGACTCGTGGTGGTTTTGAGATTTGGAAGTGTTGGATTAAGACGATTTGGAAGGGATACTTGGTGAATTAGTGTAGAGATAGATGCTGATTCTTGGTTGACTTACATTGCCTGATCTCAATTCCTTTTTCTGAATTGAATTCATATAACTTAGTTCTTGTTTGGGTTTTTTGGCTTCAATTCTTTGCAGGATATGCAAGACATGAGAGAGTGTTACGACAGCTTACTCTCTGCTGCGGCAGCAACAGCTAACAGTGCTTATGGTACTCTTTCATCTTTCTCTTGTTTAAATATAGCTTGGGGAGTTTCCACACTTTCTTTGACGATTGTTATGTTTGTTTGTGAATTTGGAAATGGTTCTTGATTCTTACTCCTTTCATCAGAATTCTCGGAGTCCTTGCGAGAGATGGGTGCCTGCCTTCTTGAGAAAACTGCTTTAAATGATGATGAGGAAAGTGGTGAGTTAGCTTGGAGGCCCTCTTGAAAGCTGAAACTTCAACATGGTGATGTGGTAACCTGGCCTCTTATAGGGTGACAGTGTGGGAAGAATTCTAATACCATTTTTACATCACTATATTGTGCAGGTAAAGTATTGTTGATGATGGGCAAAGTGCAGTTTGAACTCCAGAAACTTGTTGATGTCTATGTGAGTTCTTAAATTGCTGACTAAAGGTTTATTTTATTGTCTTCTGCTTTGTCCTGTCTGGTAATGAATCACTGCTCTTATGTTTCAGCGTGCTCATGTGTTCCAAACAATCACTGTGCCATCCGAGTCTCTTCTGAATGAGCTTCAAACAGTTGAGGTCTGTATTTTTTCTCCGGGATCTTAAAAACCCGTTCCCATTCCTTTTGGTGATAGAAATGTGGTCTGGTTACAGTAATCATATCTTTTGTGGTTACTGATTTGTAATCAACGTAGATTTTGACATGAGGAGAGTTGATCAAGCTCTCGCAGATCTAGTTGTAGTTTGAGTACCAATAGGAGAAAGAAAAAGTCTAATTTTTCTTTCTTCCTTATTTGGACTCCTGCTGATCGACCGTTATGATTCGTGAACCACCATTATGTTAGGGATAAGAGATTATGGACAATGATTGATTAATAATAAGTTGATGATCCAGACTTTGAATTTAAGAAGTCATTGAATATTGAAGCGATCCAACCCTGCTTACCATGTATGAATGGCTCGAGGATGTTAAAACTTATGTTGATACTCGACTGTGGATCCAGTGCCAGATGGGACATCTCCAAGAACCCTTGAATTTTTGAAATTTTTTTTAACTTTAACTGACTTTCTAAAATGGATTGGTCTGAGTCGATTATTTTGGCTCCTTTTCCTTAAATTATATGATATAATTTGCTTCAATTGTAATTACTTAAGATTCTTTGCTTTGGAAGCTAATGATTATTTTCGTGCACTGTTAGTTTCTATCTGCCATGATTCTAGTTTCTTAACTTCTATCACTTGTGTTCATGCAGGAAATGAAGGAGCAATGTGATGAGAAAAGGTCAGTAGTTATAGCTTTAGTATTTTTTTGATATTCAAGATACAAAAGCAATGTCGATAGGAAATGCCAGAAGACATAGCTAAGTTTCTATGCTCATTATGTTGCTCCTGACCTACAGAGAAATGTACGAGTACATGAGGATGAGGCAGAGAGAAAAAGGGAGGGGAAGGAGTGGGAAAGGAGGAGAGAGGGTGGAGAGCTTCTCTGTCGACCAAGTGCAAGCCGCTCGTGATCGATATGATGAGGAAGCAACCTTGTTTGTTTTTCGGTTGAAATCCTTAAAGCAAGGACAATCCCGTAGTCTTCTTACTCAGGCTGCAAGGCACCATGCTGCACAGGTCTTTAGTTCCCCCCCCCCCCTGGCATATCTAACTACTACTTTCTCTTCTGGAACCTTTTTCTCACTTTGGGTTTATAATCAGATGGCCTTCTTTAAGAAGGCTCTCAAAGCTCTTGAAGAAGTTGAACCACATGTGAAATCTGTCACTGAACACCAGTTCATTGACTACCATTTTGCTGGTCTTGATGATGAAGATGATGATGGTGAGGATGATACTGATAACGACACTAATGACACAAATGATGATGGGGAACTTAGTTTCCAGTATGATCAGAATGACGATGACCGTGATGTTTCTACATCAAGAGACCCAATGGAGGTAAGTTTCTTATCCGTGTTTAATGCTTAAATTCCGTTTTGTCCTTAGATTTGACCTGAACTTCTATTATCTACCGCTAATCTACAGTTGGGTGGTGGAGACCTTACATTTCCAAAAGTGTCAACTTCAGAAGCTGTGAAGGTAAGAAACCATATCTGTTTTGAATACTTCTTGCAGAACAATGTGGTTGATAGGTCTCACTGTTTGGCCTTGGCTTTACCAGATAGAAGAGTCTCACTTCCATGTCTCCTCCTGTTCGATTAATTGAGAATTAAGATGGCAGAGGGGTTGGATTAACATGGGTATATGAGATGGGTTGGGTGTAAAAGGGGTTCTTTTGGGAATCAGTAATATATTCTCTTGATATTTTGATGTGGTCTAAGAAGTTCGGATGCTAAATTCTAAAATGGCAGAGGTGCATTAGTTTTATAGCAAAACGATGTGGTACCTGCCAACCCAATGGATCTGCGTCAAATGGGTTTGTTTTTCAGATGGATTTTAAGTGGGTTGGTTGAAATTTACCACCTGTTGGTTAGATTCAGGAGATGTTTCGGCTGCTGCCTCATTTTTATGATGATCTTTCTTGCTGTATTTCACAGGAAAGTTTCGCCAGAAGCTACAGATCTTATTCTTTCAGAGGAGATGCTCGGACGGCCAGTCAATCAGCTCCACTTTTTGCCGTGAGGAAATCAGTTTCAGTTGACAAGCTGGAACAGTTGCGGCCATCCTTCACAAAGAAATTCAGCTCCTATGCCCTTCCCACCCCAAATGATCCCAATGGCCCTAGTCCCACCACAGCTTTGAGCGGTCCAATTCCTCGGACCTTCAATAGGGGTTACAATTGGTCACATTCTAATCGTCATGATCCAAAGAAGTATGAAAAACTACTGGGAGACGAGAAAATGAATCCAAAATCAGTCCTCAGAGAGAACAACAACAACAACTCTTCTGCAGCAACTCGGTTAACTCATCCAAAAGCTGAAGGGTTATTGCTCTCGAGGCTCGACCCAGGTCGCCGTGGAATCTCCGAATATAGCAAGACTAGCCAAAGACAAGCCTTTTCAGGCCCCATTGCAAGGAAATCATGGTCATCCATCCCTTCTCCATTGGACCAGCATGCTCAGGTCTTATCTGGGCCGCTATTGCAGACTCGAATGTCCCAAATGCCATCTTCCTCTCCGACCATATCTCCCAGCAGTACTTCACCCCCTTTGCTTTCGTCTCCTCGGATAAGTGAACTCCATGAGCTTCCAAGGCCTCCACTGAGGAATCCGTTGAGCTTTCCTGGTGCAGGCCATTCAGCTCCATTATTATTTCCCAGAGGCCAAGCAGCAGCAGTAGCTTCTCCACTGCCGGTTCCTTCTCAGGTCTCCCGGAGTTTGTCCATACCGTCTGGTGGTCAGAGAGCTGTAGCATTGGATCCCCCAGGGGAGTCGTTAACTCCCCAAGCGACTCAAAAAGCCGAGACAGTTGAAGAAGATTTTTTCTCCCCGCCTCTGACTCCCATCTCTCTTTTGAATGGTCGGCCAATGGCTGCCGCTGGTTCCCAAGTCAAAGGTAAGAAGTCCTGATTTTACTGACGAGTAGTTCATCTTTTCGAGTCCTCGCCATTGCAATTAGCATCCCTACTCAGACCGCTTTGTTGAATGCAAGAAATTGGACTAATTGAGATCTCCCCCTTGCCTCTCCCTGACCGCTGCCTGTTATTATTTACTGTCCATGAATACCATTCTTGTATACTGTGCTGAATCATATTGTTGGGACATTTACGTGGAAGGGTCCTCCTTGTTTTGACCTTTTCCATAGCAAAATAGTTATTGGCTGTTAAAATTTTGCCTCTTTTTTTCTTGGGTGAAAGCAGACTCACAAGGATAAGGATTGTAATGGGGGTTGATGATTGCTGCCATTTCTTGAGGGAGTTGCTGGGTACAGGACAGGTGTATATAAAGCTTCTTTTTCTCCCTGTTGAACACCATTGTACTTTGTATTCATCAGTGAAGAAAATTTGCTACCTGTTGAACACCATTGTACTTTGTATTCATCAGTGAAGAAAATTTTGTTCCCTTTTTATGATTTTGGCCTCATTTTTACAAGCGGACGATTATAGTTAGTATGATCACCATAGTATACTGCTAACTTGGGTTGTTGGTTGAGCCATCCGATTTTGAAACCATAAGCAACTAAGCAAGATAAAGAAGAATCTATAATGCAGGAATTCTTGTCTTTGTAGTACTTCATGTTGCAGTGTAAACTTTCGCTCGCGTAATTGGAGAGGATTTTAGTTTGGTTATTGCTCGTCATTCGGACATTGTATCATAGGAGTAGGGATGGCAATTACCCACCCATGGGTAATTTTATCCAAATCCAAATAGATCCATTTAGTATGGGTAGGGTTTGGATGAAGAGTATATGGGTTTGGGGGTTTGTAGATGGGTTTGGGTTAGGTATGGATATTGTTTTCATGATGTAAATGGGTATAGGTTGGATATGGATATCCATTTACTTGAGGGTGTTTTAACTACACACACAAAAATTGGACCTATTTGTAAAACTTGAAAAGTTTTGGTACCAAAATGTAATACCAAAAAAATTTAGGTACCAAAACGTAATTTTCCATCGATATTTTGAGGACTTATATGCAAAAAAAATTAAATTTAGGTACTAAATCTGAATATCTATTAAGTTTAGGTACCAAACTGTAATTTGCCTTTGGGCATGGGTACAAACCCAAATCCATGTGTTAAAAACCCAACCCAACCCAAGTAAATGGGTATGGGTACAAATCCATCAAACTCTACCAACTACCATTTATTTGGAATCCATACCCAACCCAATTGGGTTGGATAGTAAAATACTCATGGGTATGGGCAAAATTGTCATCCCTACATAGGAGCATCAAGCATATAGGATCTATAACCCGGGGTAAGGCCCAGAGTGAGTTTACACAACTTCAACTTATCTTTCTGATTGAGTGTTGTTTTCATGCTTGTTTTTGAGACCGGGGCAGGCTTGTCCGGAAACCAGATTTTTGTTTACTGCGCTTAGAGTGGTATACAGTAAAATATCTATAAATTAGTAGTCAAAATCAAGCATAGGTTATATATATATTCTTCTAATAAATTTAATATGTTATATTTTTTCTATTAAATTTAATAGAAGCATCATTGCATAATCATATATTATGAATCTATATCATAGTGGTAATGTTTGATAGTACATAATATTATATCATGGTATAGAAGTATTTCATATCAGGGCGTACTATTTGTAGCCCTAAATTGTCTTTATTTGTAGTCCTAAATTATAAAAAGTACAATAATACCTATCACATTTAAATACATTTAGTTCACACATTCCAAGACCAAAAAATTCAAACACTTTCCCCAAACACAATCCTACAATACTCGCCACCGGCGACAGACACCTCTCGCCGGCGACCGCCACCTCTCGCCGGCGACCGCCACCTCCGCCGGCGACCGCCACCTCCCGCCGGCGACAACGACAGATTACCCGACAACGACAGACTCCTTTCTCCGACGAGGTACGCCGGCAAATTACCCGATGACAGATTTTGCCGTCTGTCATCGGCGACGGACGAACGTCCGGCCGGGACGTCGCCGGCGACGGACGAACGTACGGCCGGGACGTCGCCGTTTTTTATTTTATTTTTAATTTTCTGTTAATTTAAATTTGTGAAGTCATTAGATTTTTTAAATAGATATTAATTTAGATTTTTGGTTATTATTTTAAATTTTTTTTATAATAGATTGATGAATAATTTAGATTTTTAAGAATATTTAGTGATTTTATTACAATTCATTATTTTATGAATATTTTAATTATCATATTGTTAGATGAATTTGTTCTAATATTATTTTTAAAATGAAGTTATTGAATTTTAATTTTTCATATATTTTTTTTTTTTATGGTTAAATCAAATCGCATTAAGAACCGAATCCGATAGCAAAGTGCTATGGAGCCCTAAAAAACTAGCAAGTCTGTACATAATACCTCACAGAGTCACTACCAAGACTAAAAACAAACTCAGTTTGCTAACTGTCTACCCCAAGCCCCCTAGCTTCATAACAATCAACTAAGCATTGGTTTAACAAGCAACGACTCCAAATAATCCGCTTTGCATCAACGAGCAGCTGAGAAGGACTTCTAGCCGCAACAGAACCATATAACCTCGCACATCTCTCCCGCCAAACAAGACTAATAAGAACACTCCAGCTCATCCTTTTCAAAGAATGCGCTGGGGAATCACTCGACCATTTTATGACACACCACTCTAACACAGCATCCCAGCTTCCAAGCACAGGAGGTGATGCCTCTTTCAACACTGCACAACTCAAATACTGAAAGTAAGAACACTCCATGAACAAGTGATCCCTGCTCTCTATACCTCCAGGACACAACAAACAGTGACCAGAGATTTGTTTACCCCATGCAATCAGCTTATTCAGCAGTTTCAACCTATCATTAATCACCAACCATAGAATAAAACCATGCCTGGGGATGACATGTTTATCCCAGACCACTTTATACCATCTGACCTTCACATCCTTCTGCCGCAATGATTCCCATACCCTCGAAACAGAGTAAGAATGCATAGCCAAACCACCCCAATGCAACTCAGACCCCACTGCAGATATGAAAGGCTTTACCAGGTCCCGACATATAAGTAAACGCTTCCAGACCCAGGTCCCTGCTGCTGTTCCTTTTAGATCCCACACAGACACCTGCTTCACCCTATATCGTGTAACCGAGGCAACCCAGAGAGAACCCTCTGCTGCCAGAATGGACCAAAGATGCCTACACACACAGGCTTTGTTCCAAACTGAGAAGTTCTTAATGCCTAAACCACCCTCCTTCTTCGGCCTAGCGATGAACTGCCAAGCAACTACTGCTCTCTTTCTCAGCGAGGTATCACTTATATCCCATAAAAACTTGCTACAAATAGACTCCACTTCTTTTATAACGTACTTGGGCAACAAGAAACTAAGTTAATTGCCATATTTTGAAACTAAGTTAATTGCCATATTTTAAGAATATGTAGTGTTTTTATTGTAATTTATTATTTTATGAATATTGTAATTACCATATTCTTAGTAGGATTTGTTATAATATTATTTATAGAATGAAGTTCTTTAATTTCATTTTTTATTATTTTGAAACTAAGTTAATGTTTACTAACAATAATTTAGACTCTGAAGAATATTTAGTGATTTTATTGTAGTTTATTATTTTATGATATTGTAATTATCATATTTTTTAGGATGGATTTGCTATAATATTATTTTTAGAATGAAGTTCTTGAATTTCATTTTTTTTATATTTTGAAACTAAGTTAGTATTACTGAAAATATTTTTCTTATATGTATTTCTTGAAGTTGGTCAAGTTCGGACTTCTAGATATCACTACATCAGATAATGAGTAACACGGTTAGTGAGTTAAAGTTTTTAATTTTAGAATCATGTTGAATTGTTTATTGTTATGATGAAGTCTAGTAATTGATAATATGCTTAAATATTTGTTTTACAATGATACATATTGTTTGAAAAATGTTGAATTATTGATTTTGCTGTCTTGTTGATAATTTAATTAGTACGTGTCTACTTGTTAAAAACTTTTTTATTGCATGTTGAAATATTAGGATTTGGTAGTTAATCATGCTAAATGTGCTAATTTTTTGTTGAAAATGTATTGGATTAGTTTATGTTTGAATATTGAATAATTGTTGATAACGTGTTTAATATTTTTTAATAAGAAGATAAATATAAAATCTAATATTGCAAACAAGCCATCAAATTTTCTAAAACTTACATAAGACTCAATCCATTTCAAATTGTAAGAATTCAATTTACAACAAACATTACAAGTCATGAAAAGTGTTGAAACTTATGTAAGACATCAATCTATATCAAATTGGAATAATTTAATCTACAACAAACATTTCAAAATTAGTATCACTAATAAGATAAATGTGTTTATTTTAGGGAGATCCGAAAGATAAGGGAGACAAAGTTGATTATACTCAATTTTTCATAACAAATACAAGATATAAGTCATGGAATGAAGCTATGGAAGCTGCGAAAGTGATTGCAAAAGATCTTGGGTTCTTTTTGACACATTCATCAACCAAATCAAATGATGGCGAGAAGTACCCCCGAATATATCTTCACTGCCATCGTGGATATAAAAACAATACATATGTCCCGGATCCGGATAAGAAAGGACGATCCAATACAAAGTCACTTAAAGATGATTGTCGTTTTCGAGTGAGATTGGTGGGACTCCCGGAGGATAAGACTTGGATGATTGATGGTGTGAAGGACAATCACAATCCGGGACAATTTTGTGGGTTTCACAACCATGCATTAGAGCTTTATCCCGAAGGCCACACTCAGAGGAATGCTTTTACTGATGAAGAGCTAAAGGATATGAAGGAGATGGAATATGCTCGTGTTCCTCCTCGAAAAATGATGCAAACTATCAACCAAAAGTATGGTACTCACCATAACAAACGACAATTTTACAACATGAGATTGGACGTTACACCATGCGAGAGAGATGGGGTACTACATTGGCTACAAGCGTGATGATGATCGCCACCTTACTCACCTTTTTCTTGCTCACCCTGAGTTTGTTCGGATGTTGAGTGCTTGGTACCATGTAATCTTGATTGATTCCACATACAAGACGAACAAATATAAGAGGCCCCTGGTTGAGGTTATTGGTGTTACCCCCGTCAAGAGGAGCTTCAACATTGGATTTGCTATGATGGAGGGGGAAACCACAAATTCTTATGTTTGGCTTTTGAGAGAGTTACAGAACATGCTTGGAGATCGCATACCGAATGCAATTCTAACTGACAAGGAGGGAGGATTGGTTGCCGCTATCCCTCAAGTCTTCACGAAATCAGCTCACTTGTTGTGTATATGGCACATAAAGCGGAACATTGAAGCTAAGATGATGGATTTGAGGATACCACAAGAAGTTGCTCGAGGAGTGGTACATGGTTCTTGGAAGAAGGTGATGGAAGCCACCACGCCACATGCTATGATTGAGGAATGGGAAAATTTCAAAAATGGATTTTGGGGGAGGAATAGTAAGTTGATAGAATACTTGGATCGTGAGTGCTTGGAGCATAAAGAGAAGTCAGGCTGCCACCTCTCCACAAACGCCACAAGTAAAGGTCCGTCCAAGTGCTGGATCGAGCAGTCCAACAACTTGCGCAACCCTGTCCTCTCAACCAATGCTGCAGCACCCTCACTCTGAAATTTGTAATCTTTCAAATAATTGAATGCCAATGCTCTAGTCGACAATTTGAATGAATCCATTCGGCGAGCCACTAAACCATCATCCCATAATCGATAAGCCACATGACCTCCAAAACTAGGAATCAGGATATGATCGATAGGCCCCCCGTCCCACTCCTGTCGAGAATCCACGAATCAGCTTCTCTCGCCTTCTTCCTTTTACTAGTGCTGCCCTCCTCCGAATCGGGTCGTGATGACTCAAAACGACCACGAAGCCCACGTCTAACATGAACAAACTGAGAGGACGAAGAAGACACAAAAGGAGCCTCGGGCTCTAATCTAGGTCCACTAGAACCACCTGCACTCGGATGGTTGCTCTCGAAGAAAGCATCATTTACATCCGGGAAGTCATCATAATTGTCATTACTGCCATCATACTCATCCACTCCCTCAAAAGCTCTATCTAAGTCAAAAGGCACGGGAAGAGGGGGAGAAGGATTCTCCACAAGTCTAGCACGTCGACGCTCATTCTCGGCTTCCTCACGACGTGACCTCAATACTATACGGTTGGTCACCCTCGACGGCTCTACCTCCTTCATCTTCTTCTTTCCTCTTGTATCCACCATTTTCTACCTATTAAAATTATTGTCAGATTATTATAATTTCAATTACAATAAAATTTCCATCACAATATAATGTTCGAAATTATAATGTATTTCACGATAAATTCTAACTTAATTTTCATGCTTAAATTGTCTATTATAATTTAACATTCGTATATAATTTCAATTACAATAAAATTCCCATCACAATATAATGTTCGAAATTGTAATGTATTTCACGATAAATTCTAACTTAATTTTCATGCTTAAATTGTCTATTATAATTTAACATTCGTATATAATTTCAATTACAATAAAATTCCCATCACAATATAATTTTCAAAATTGTAATGCATTTCACGATAAATTCTAACTTAATTTTCTTGCTTAAATTGTCAATTGCAATTTAAGGTTCGTACAACAATTAATACTTTTCATGAAATAAAATTCTATACTTAAATTATTAAACTTTCATATATTTATCAATTAAAAGTTACCTTTCCTATCTAATTTCAATTAAATGAAAACATTAACCGACATAATTTTCATATATATTAAATATTAACATATTTAAAGTAGATAATTAACGTACATAATTTAAGCAGATAATTAGAGTAATTAACCTACATTAAATCATAATAATTAAAGTATATAATTAACTAACATAATTAAAGGAGATAATTAAAGTAACTTTTTAAATTGATTTAAAGCAGATAATTAACTTACATTAAATCATAATAATTAAAGCATACAATTAACCTACATAATTAAAGGAGATAATTAAAGTAATTTTTTAAATTAATTTAAAGTAGATAATTAGCCTACATTAAATCATAATAATTTGAACAGATAATTAACATAAATTAAATTAAACACTTATCGAAAAACAAAAATTAAATTAAACGAAAAAAATAAAAAATCGAAAAAAAATAAAAAGCCGTTTGACTGCCGCCGGCAGGGGCGATGCCTCGGCAGGACGTCGCCCTCGCCGACGGCAGTTCAAACGGCCGGTCGTCACCTCCTTCGTGCAAAAATTAAACATTACCTCCGGCGAAGCGCTCTAGTTTCGTCTCCGGCGAGAGGTCGTCGTCTCCGGGGAGAGGTGGTCGTCGTATTTGAGAGGAAACCGACGACGGAGAGAAGGGGCGAGTCACGTCTCCGGCGAGAGCTCGTCGTCTCCGGCGAGAGGTCGTCGTCTCCGGGGAGAGGTGGTCGTCTCCGGCGAGAGGTCGTCGTCGCCGGCGACAATATTTGGGAGGAATTCGGCGAGAGTTGAGTTGGAAGAGAAGGGAGTGTTTGGTTGGAGTTGTAACAAATTCAATATTTTAAAAGGAAGGAAGGGTAAAATAGTAATTACATTCTCCTAGGGCTACAAATAAAAAAAAGTTAGGGCTATAAATAGCAATTCAGTTTCATAGTGGTATGAATATATTACAGTGTAGAATGATTGTATAAATGATATTATGAATATACTAATTACTATTTATCACCTTTCACCACCAATTACCACCCTACACCTCGAGTCGTATAGAGTGGTATACAGTAAAATCTCTATAAATTAGTAGTCAGATCGTGAAAATTATTCATTTGTAGTTGTTAATTAATCAATAAATTAATAATTTATTAATTTAAAAAGGTATTTGAGGAGTTCAATTGAGGATGAGGATTTGATGATTCAACACCTTGGGACCAGTCATGCGAAAGGAAGTGCTTGAAGCCACACCGACTCTTCAAAACTATATTGTAAAAAGACTTTAAAACTACTTGTTGCAATTAGAGAATACAAGAAAACACAATAGATTGTGAGTGCAACGAGGAAAGTTCAACATTAACTTCTACTAGACTTGAACTTCAAGAAGAAACAAGCAACTATTTTGCCAAAGATCCAAAAATGGGGATCATAGTGCCAAAATTTGGCTAACAAAAGGTAAAAAACAGCTTAAATTTGCAGGGACACCATCTGAGCACGAGCAGACGCGCCGGTGCTGCACGTATAGAAGGGATTCGCTCCCTTCTAGCAAAGTAAAAAGAGTAAAGTTGTTTAGGTGTTTTTCAATTTATAGATGCATAAAAGTAAAGATACGTTATTGAATTGTAGAAGATAGTACACTCGAGTACTATCATGCATACTAGGGCTCAATCACAACATGCATCAATTATTCGTCTATTGTAACACTCTATCTCTTCTAGGGATGACAACTTTACTCATACCCATGGGTTTATAACTATCCAACTCTGAAATCCAATTCAAATGTAACGGGTCGTTTGCTTCATGGATTTGAAAAATAAGGGTTTTGGTAAAACCTGGGTTTCGGAAAACCATGGATATATGATGGATTTGGTGGCATTATGGATTTGAACAAGTCTATTGTTTGTTTGATGGATTTGACTATGGACTTTGTTTGATTAGATTTGTGGATATTAAATACAAATTACCTTGTTACCCTTATTTAATTATATTTCTATATTATAATCCAAATCTTTCATTTAAAACTAATCCAAAACATAGAAAGAAATTTTAAACTCTTTACCACTATGTGGATTAATAATTCAACTACAACTATAGAAATGTATTACAATTTGGCACTAATTAACAATTTATCTAATAATGTATGCATTATTATATATCAATTGCAACCAATTGCTCGCTTCATTGCTACAACTCATCATCTTCTTGCTAACTCATCGATGTGAAATCCGACAGTCAATCAAATAATATTCACAAGATGAGCATAAAGTGTTTCTAGGTGAATCTAACAAATCACATATACATTCATATTTAAATAAAATACGATATTACAAAATGAAATAATAAATTCTCATATTTATAAAATACAAAATTATAAAAGTTATAGTTGCATGACCATTGAATTAAAGTAGGACAAATTAGTAATTAAAGAAATAATTAAGGGTAGAAAGGTAATTTACCATAATGGATTTTAATCCATCACCCAAATCCCACCTCAAGAGGTGGAACTTCCAAGTCCGTGAGGTCCACGGATTTGGAACCCCAAAAGAGGTGGGCCCCATAAATTCCATCTTCCTAATTCCCCAAGGCAAACGATGGATTTCGGTTCAAGTCCATGATGGATATATTTCCATGACCAAATTCATGACCAAATCATGTACAAATGACGGTCTATCAAATCCCCTCACACTTAACCGTTTTCTTGTCCCCAAGCAAACCTGGCTCAAACCAATGCAACTCTCCATACCTCTACAACACCATGCAACCCAGATCGTCGATAGAGGACTTTCTAGATTATTTAGCAACTTACGAGGTCAACCGGTTTTCTAAGACATCCCCTATTTGCCTCAATGCGAGTACTAGACTCACACCAAGATCATGTGAAGCAGTGGACCTAAGACATACAATTCATGGACAAAGAGACTCACTCACATAACACAACAAGCAGGGACTCTCCGTATCGGGTGCTCTTTCATTCGATTTCACTTGTTGGAACCCCTTTTCCTTATTATTTGTTCTTTTTCTTTTGTTTTTCACATTTGCACTTTGATGGGGTTCCAACTGCAGTTTTTATGCGCGGTCGACCCTTATTAGGTGAGTAAGAGCAATTTTTGTACATCTGTCGCTCGCTAGAGTACTTCTTTTAACTCATTTTCCTCACTTCATGTGGAGGTTCAATGAAATTGAGGAGGTCGGAAGCTCTATCCGTGCCCTTTAAAACACATCCTCAAGTAGGCAAACCGCTCAACGGGTGGAATTTTTACTTGTAC